TTGGGAGAGAATAGAGTTCTAAGGGGGTTTCTTTGTAAACCAAAGTTGTAACTTATTCTTTCATTAGTGAATTTCTCAAGGGGATCACCAAGAGGATGTAGGCAATTGCTGAACCTCTAAAATACTTGTGTCACTTTGTGCTTGGTTGGTTTCTCAAGTGTGTGTGTGTGATTCATCCATTCTTGTGTGTGTCACAAAGTCCATCAACAACAAGATCATTAGGGGAGGGTGAGTTGAGTTTGTTCTCATTTCACAACACTCCCCACATTGGGCTGTGAAACGGCCTATGTGCTCGATAGAAGAAGTGTGCCCGTCTCCGGAGAACAGCATGAATTCAAGCAGTTGATAGTTCCGGGGGAGGGGAGTACAGTCAATCTCCGGGGGGTAAGGCTTGGTATACCTTGGTGCTTCTGACCGTCTTTGAGCCAGACCGTCCTCGATCATCCGCTGAACATCTTCGATTTGAAGCCCTTGTGGGGGTGGCTCTTGTCGAGCCGCAACCTGGTGCTGGGCCTGCTGCATGTCGCTTGAACTACAAGGCCGTTAGTGGTGGATTTTTGGGTGGTGCTCCGGCGCGTCGATGGGTTGCAACGGTCGTATGATATATGGGATGAATGGAAAAATAACCAGGATGGTGCTCCGACACCTTGAAAACCGAGGGTCGTATGATATATTGATGAACGGATTTTCCTACAAGTTGTCACTACTCCTAAGAAAGCAAGTAAAGGTAATGAAAATGCATTACAAGAAGATAAATGACAGGAAAATATAATTTGCTCCGTTGAAGGCTTGTGTTTGGTTTTTGAACCCTTTAAACGCAGTTGGAGCCCAGTATTTATAGAAGATATCCTGAGAAGACAAACAAGGCTAAAAATTTGATCCTCATGATGAGGCTGATCCAAGAATGGGTAGTCGAGTCAACATTTGGGAACGTGAAGTATGGTGGTGTGAACCCCATAAATCCCGGCCGCCGCCCTGATGGTGGGCTCTGCGTCTTGGGCCTTGGAGGAGCATTCAATGCTCTGGTCTGGTGGTTGGTGACTTAATCTTACAAGTCGTAAGATTTTCACACTTAATCACCCTGATTTTACTTGCCATATCCTGACTTCAATCACTTCCCTTCTTCTCTTGTGCATTAAATGCTCTCAGGCAGATCATGGGTCCTCTGCTGTAGTCAAGGGCGTTACTTCATTAAATGAAGTGTGGGGCCTCGATGCCACGTGGCGACGCCACTTGATCTTTCTGCTTTGGTCGTGTATGTGAGAGTATCAATTTCTTTGTTTATACCCACCGTGGTTGTGGCCGCGATGGGTTTCGCCTCCACGGCTCATCCTGATCCTACGAGAACAACGAACCACAACTTTGACGCGTTTGGCCCCTTTTTCTTTTCGGTGGGCGCCTTGGCCGAGAGGTCACTCCTTCGATCGGTCTCATAGGCTGAGATTTCTAGGCACAAACAGGAGCTTTTTTTGGCTGATGTTGGAAAGCAAGCGTAATATCCTCCTGCACTAAAGACTTTCCCACTTGTCTAATTATATATATAAAATAACAATATGAAAATTTGATGGTAGTATAATATACTATATTTATTTGCTTTCATATTACTAACCACTAATAAAAATGGACGGTTTCACCTTCTATATTTTTAGTGGTGGTTTTAACCCCGCATTTAATTTATTTACTGTATGGTGTAGGTTCATTACCTATACAATTTATTTATTGTATGGTGTAGGTTTGTTACCCATACAACAGTATTTATTTAAAAGTGTGGCGCGGATTTATCGTCCACACAACTGCCTTTACTTTTTATTTAAAAGTATGGAGTAGAATTAGTGTCCATACAAGCACATTTACTTTATCGCACATTTACTGTATTATTTAAAGTATGGTGCGAAATTAACATCCATACAACAAGCAATTTATTTTATGAATTTATTTTACCACACATTTACTTTTATTTAAAGTATGGTGCTGGTTTATCGTCCATACCAGCAATTTATTTACAAGCAATTTATAGCAATTTATTTTATGAATCAATTGTGTGATATGATGAGTTTTATAGTACATAGATCAAGACCAGAAGTTCCTTGATCCTCATCATACAACTACATCAGAACTTGAAAATCCTTGATGATGATAATGATATGAGAGCTGGTAGTCTCTCCGGTACTATATTTGTAAATAAGTGATCGGACTTGAAGATCCTTGATCCTTGACATGTAAATAAGGACTTGGAGTTTCTTGATTATGTAGTAGTACTGTATTGGTTAATAGTGCCATATGCATGAATAGTAACTATACTGGGAAATGTACTGTACGCATGAATATACATGTATTCATGACCTGATGAATAGTACCATATACATGAATAGTGACGTATACATAAATATTAACCATTTTGGGTAAACCGTCATTATATACAAAAAGGAACCTACAGTTCCTTAAACTCATGGATGAGCAATTAAATGAGATGCCAGAAGTTCCTCAAAACATGGACAATTATGTAAGGGCCTGAAGTCCCAAAATATGTACAGGAAATTATAAAAATGTCCATACTGTGAGAATATGTGATTTTGGCCTGAAGTTCAAAATTTAAGAATATTGAATGTTTGTACCATGAAAATATGTGATTTTGGCCTGCAGTTCAAAATCTGACAATATTGAGAACCTGAAGTTCCAACAGTTAAATGGACAACCCTTGAGGTATTATTGCAAATCATGGTACACCACATATTTCTTTGGCATAAGAAAATGATGAATTTAATAAAGTTCGATTTTGTTACAATTGACACCTCAAGGAAGAAATATATTTTGTGAATTCTGGTTGTTAAGAATACACCGTGAAATGGATAATATCAGGATAAACCTCAAGGGATGAATTGAGGCACCCACATATTTTGTTATATTATATGATCTGGGCCGAAAGCCCATGGATCCAAATATATGAGAGATCCCGAACCCGAAGTTTTGGGTATATAGTAGTTAATGTTCTTCACTACTATATTGCAATATTATGGCTTTTACTCAATTTGTATTTCATGCCCATTTGAAAAAGGCAAATAAATTTTAAAGTTGTGTTTAACCCGGGCCAAGAGTTCCGGACTCACATGCGTTGAAATATGTAATTTGAGAGGTTTGATGTGGTTATTTGAACCTATAAGGCATAAGGTTCCAAACTGTCATTTTGAAAAGACATAAAAACCACAGGTGCAAGTTTAAGAATTTACCCAATTATTATAACAGGAGAGGAGCATACAACAGATAGATTCTTTTCACCTACAAGGAAGGAGCAGGCTCCGTAAAATCTATAAAATTCCATTATGTTCTGGAAGCCTCTGAAGGAAGAGGACGACGCCTCTTAAGTCTAGCCATGAGCCTCTCGTGGTCTCACAGAATCTTTTCATTGGAAATCTGCAGCATGTCAAGCCTTGTCTGCGTATCAATGAAGTATGAACTCACCAATTCCAATAAAGCCTTATTTTCCTCTTTAAGTTTCTCAACCTCTTGTTGCGACTCATGAAGCGTCCCCTGAAGAGATGAATTTTCAGTGTTCAGCTCTTGAATCTCGTTTGCTCTGGCACGGAAACAATCAGCATGAAATAACACAAGTGTTTCTTCCATCCTTAGGTTGGAGAAACTTCGTTCAAATGTCATTCAAGCTCGTATTGGCTCAGCAAATCTAATGCAACGCTTGATGATCCAGTTATATCCTGCAAAAGACGACAGTAACAAAAGACCGTCATGGATAAGTAACTTAAACACCTAAAAAATCGAGATCCGCTTGAGTATTTCTAAAACATTACGCATCAAAGTTAAAAAACGTCGTCTTATTAAACATATTTTATCCAGACATAAACTCTTAACCCCAAAAACAACGACAACAGGTATGAAGCTACCGACGTAGAAAGTAAAGACGACGTTTTAACAAAATTGCCGTCGTTTTAACTGCTAGTTAAACAAGCCAAACTATTCTTAATCAGAAATAAATTTCTCGACGTATTACGACCTCATTTACTACGACGGTATTTATAATATTACTGTCATATAGAGTAATACAGAACCACGGCACTTGTAGCGTAGATAACGACGTCTAAATGTAAAAATATTCACATTGTATTTTTACTATATCAAAACGTATTAAGTTAGTACACCACAACGGTCTGTATAAATAAACGGTCGTGGTAAATGTAATTTACCACTTCATTATTTAGAATATAGTGTCGGGTTGTTTGTACCTAACCACGTCGGTTTCTTCACTTATAGTGTTGTATAATATTATTTTTCCACTTCGTTAATTGAAAAATACCGTCATCTCTATACCCTTTGTACGATTATCCTTCTCTAATTACGATCAACGATTTAAAAACCGTTTAGACGATGGTGGATTCCGTCTTCTATTTCGATTTCTTAAGTAGTGTCACGAATATCAATTAATTGATTTAGATGGATGGGTTATTCGTTTGAGGTGCAATATATATTATTAATTATATATGCATCTGTATGAAAAGTGTAGCACGAACTTTTAGATTGGTATAATGCCATTTGAATGCTATTTTTGAGACTATATGCACAGGCATGATTTTAGTATGCTATAGATAGTAACTGAATGTTGTCATATATTACCATGATGAAGCACTAATGAAGCACATACATTATGATCATAATAGCTCATATGTATGCTAGAAAGCCTAGAATAATCCAACGGGTGCCTAATGTTTCCCTTTTATGCAATACTAATTTTGGGAAAATTGCATAATATTTGCACCGAATTAAGAATTGCAATTATATTCAACAAAATTTGTAATTGGATGATCTATTTTGTATGACCGCTTACGAACTTATGCTACAGAGATCTTGTTGTTTATATGTACAGTGAATTAAAGTTATTTAAAATAAATAAATGTAAGCATATTGTATTTCATTGTCATTGAACTTTGTCTTATGAGGCGAGGCAATCTAAAGGTCTATTGCCCGCTACTGTGTTAAAGAGATCATATATTTATCGGTTAATCTAATGATCGATTAACCATTAAAGTGTATCAATTAATCTTATGTAATCGATTAACTATTACAGTTGTTAATTTAATTTGACATTCATATTATGAATAGTTTGTTAGACACCAAAGTGGCCAAGCTAGAACGTTCCTTGAATATCAAATTAAATGATAATTAATCAATTACTTGTGATTTAAGGATGCATATAAATGAAGTTGAACCTTATAATGTTTCCAAGGTTTCAACGTTATGAGTATATTGACTTTCATCATTCATAAGAAATAAGGATCACCCAAAGGTGGATCCGCTATTCATATGATTGGTGATATAAATTAGGTAACTTGTATATGTCTTATTTAGATTTGTTTTTGGATATCCAAAGATAACAAAGGTTTTCTAAATAGGAATATACATTTACCAATAATGTAAAATATATGCATTATAATTGTTAATTTTGGTATTGTCATAATTTATCCCAAAGGAGAGTTATGATGATATGTTTATTGATGTTTAGACTATATAAGTCG